TTATTTAATCCAAAATAAATTTGAAAAGATAATTGTAGTGAGTTTGTTTTTGAACAAATATTTCTAAATTTATTTGTTTACAATTTTATTCATTTTAAATTTTTATTAGTTTGATTTGATGTAACACCTATTTCGTTGTTGTCTTGTGTGACATCTGTGAAAAAAATTCAGGTGCTCAGGCATGAAAATGTGCCACTCAAACACTATACTTTTCCGCCCACACTGAAAAAAAATTAGAGGGAACATTGTTCAGCGCTCATTCGTTGGTGCGGTTTAGAACTCACGGTTTTGTCACCGAGGTTTAGTCGGGTGCGCTTTTGTCGGTTGCCCTTTTGTCGGTGAACCCATACACACACACACACACACACACACACAAACACACACACAGAGAATGTGTTTAATGTTTGAATGTTTATCTTTCTTTTCTATCTCCTATTTTAATATGTCATCTCTTTTTCCTTCATTTTGCAATTTTAACATTAATTTCTTTCTAGTATTTTTCTTTCCACCCCTCATTCTTCAAAAATGCATGTAAATATTTTATATCATGACTGGTTTTCAAGCAAACTGCATAGGAACTATTTTAACTCCCTTTCCAAATGAATTTAACATATACTTAAATGATTCACTAAAATAAACTTTTTTTAAAAAAGTACCAGAGTTTGAAGAAAGCTTGAATAAATATTTACTCAATAATTATAGTTACATATACAGTATGTTATAACAAATATCTTAGTGTATCATATTTTTAGATTTTATTTTTATCAGCCAAAACTGTTTGAGTATAGATTTGCGAATAATAATAATGTAGAATGAGTTCCTACTCAATTTAAAATTAATGATAATTTATAAGTTTTATAGGTTGTTGGGTATTCTATCAGAAAAACCTTCACAAATTTGAAACCTTTAAACTTGGCAGAAAGAAACACAAGAAAAATCAGTATTTATGTCATGAATGGATAATCTTGCATCTTTCAATTTATATGTATCTCTGCTGCTGTCTTGAATACAGCTTTTCGGCTGGATGATCTTAAAGATCAGCTAAATAGACCTCTCCCATTCTCAGCTCATCTTGTTCTGCTTATCCAATGTCAGATGGACTTCAAGAAATAACTATTGTTGAAGTCCCTTAACATTAGAAGGCAGTATCTGAGGAGAAGCTTCTGTTTCTCTGGCTCTATCCTTTTCAATCTGAAAATCCAGTGACTTTCAAAAGATAGAAATTCTTATTTAGAAGAATGTCACTTAGATCCTTCCTGTTCCTGTTCCATAAAAATGGTTGAAGGGCCTTATTTCAGTTACATTGCCTTTGGATATATAAGCAGGCCAGTGTCGAAGGATGGTGTAAATTTTCTTTTCTACTTCTAAATTTTAAATCATCTTAAAACTATGATATAAGCTTTCTTTATTATTTTTGTTTTTCTAATGCGCTATCCTGGTCTGTATGTAAAAACCCTCCCAGGGTTTTTTAACAGTTTTTATTTCAAAGTTACAAACAATAAAGTTTGAAAATTCCAAAGTACAAAAATGCAAACGATAAAGAATGAAATGTTTTAGTAGCCTGGCATTTAGGTAGTAGGTGAATAACACCATCTAACTTATTATACCTTCTTTATGCAAAGAGTATAAGAGGGCTTAGGTTTAATTATGTTTAAATAATATTACATTAAAAGTAAACTATAATAATAAATTTTCTCCTTATGTGTTTAATATTTTTTTCCTTTTGCCATAAAAGTTGGGTGGCAACTCTGGAAGAGCTGAGGGACAAAGTTTTCATGGGTTACTAGCATCTAGAATGTTGAGTTTTTCACCTTTGGCTAAATCTCTAGAGGTCTATGGCTAAGATAGACAAAAACTAGACTACGTAAGGAAGTATTAAATACATGAACTATTCATCATGACAGGCAGACTTCCTGCATAATCATGGCTAAGATAAATAAATAGAAAAAGGTCCTTTGGCACTGATGCCCTTCCTTACAAAGGAGCCTTTATATATTCAGAACACTAAAATAGATGGGCATTTGTTTTTATCAGTTCTTATGTAGCAATACAAGTTACAAGTTACGAGGGAATTTTTTGAGTTGTAGGTCCGGTTAAGAAACAAAATTTTCTCAATTTCTGTCTTACCTCATGTGGCCAATGATTTAAATATAGTGAAGACTTGTAATGCAAGCAAAGGCATAGGGAATTTTGCAGGACAAATAACCTTGATCATGCAGGGGTGGGGTGAGAGTGTCCATATTTGGGCTGCAAAAATCCAGATTCTCCAGGCAATCATTAGTTGACAGCAAGATCAGATTTTTCAGAATATTTTTTGCTGCCATCTAGTGTGTCTACTAAATAGGGATGTGGTGGCTCAGTGGCTAAGACACTGAGCTTGTCAATCAGAAGGTCGGCAGTTCAGTGATTCCAGCGCTGCATAACACAGTGAGCTCCTGTTACTAGTCCCAGCTTCTGCCAACCTAGCAGTTCGAAAGCATGTAAAAATGAAAGTAGAAAAATAGGGACCACTTTGGTGGGAAGGTAGCAGCATTCCCATGTACCTTCAGCGTTTAGTCATGCTAGCCACATGACCACCGAGACGTCTTTGGATAGCCCTGGCTCTTCGGCTTAGAAATGAAGATGAGCACCACCCCTAGCATGCCTGTGTGGGGGAATCTTTACCTTTACTGTGTCTACAGAAGGAGTTTCAGTTGGAGAAAATATTTGGAGAGAAAGGAACAGGAATGCTAGATCCATTTGTGATTGTGATTTGAACATGTCTGGAGACAGGTCTCCCTGACTAGACTTGTGGTAGAAGAGAAGATAGAAAGAATATTAAAGATGGGAACACTGCAGCTCTTAGGCCCTTAGCGGGTTAGGGCAGCATGGGGGGAAAAGAGCGCCTGTTACCATCCTCTTCTGCCAACCTCTGCCAACTGTTGCAGCCTGAGAGGGCATAGTGCTTGAGATCACCGTTAGAGGGTCCGATTTGACAAGCTTGCCATGGAGCCAATGAAAACTCTATTTCTGACTCCCTCCCTGCAAGAAACAATTATCTCAAATAAACCAACTACACACGTGTTCTCTTTTAGTAGAAATAATACTTTTATCTTGGTTTACTTTTAATTGACATTAATTGATTTTAAAGTTATAGTGATCATTGAACTTCAATGGATAGGAAAACTATGACAAGGCAGTGCAGCAATTAAAGGCTAAAGAAAGCTAGCATTCTGTCTGGAAGTACTTTTATCCTTTCACTATTTATTGTAGCCATCTTTCAAATATTTGAACAAGGGCAGATGATTAAACAGGTTGAGACTCATCTAAATACAGCTTTAAGTACTGAACGATGCTCTCCAGCATTTATATACTGAGGAAGCCAAAACTGCAGCCTAACTAAGAGATACTCTACAACTATTCACTGAAGTTAAAATAACTTGAAAGGTTAAATATTCTGAACAGGAGACACATAGGCATAACCTACCCCTCCCACCAAGGGACCATAACTGAATTTTGATTTTAAATATTATTTTATTTTAATTCCAAAGTTTTGCTTTACATCAATTTAAGCTGTCTTTGTGCTGATATGGAAAGCAGTTTATAGATTAATACAATCCTCTTATATAAAGAAATAATCATGTTGTGCATTTTTTTGTAATTGTTCATTTTTTGAGAATAAATTTATTTCTTAACAATATCATGTTAAGAATGTAGCCCAAAAACCAAGGGTTTAAATCAAACAAAATAGTAATATTATAATGTGTTATCTATTAAAACAGCTATACTTTTCTTTATTAAACTTGGACTAAACCTTGTAAGAGCCAAGGTGGCGCAGTGGTTAGGATGCAGTACTGCAGGCCACTTCAGCTGACTGTTATCTGCAGTTCAGCAGTTCAAATCTCACCGGCTCAAGGTTGACTCAGCCTTNTGGCTGACTAAATACTTTTTTGCCCCACTGTAGTTAAAACTATGAACTTTGCTTCCAAAATAAATACATTGTTGGCAAATCACCTGGATTATTTTATGGAGAAAAGTTCATGGAAGATAAACTTATCAGTGGTAACTGTTCATGATGGTTTTGTTACTTTGAACAATAATTATAATAATTACAATAAGAATACATTAGAAGCAATTAGCTCTTCTGACTTTCTAAATTGTTAAAAATGTTTTATGTGTTAAAAATATTTCCTGCTCCTTTGGAGAAGTAAAAGGCAGTATATGAAATGGACTTTTTTTTCAATTCAAGATGTGCCATCTACATACACTTTTCAGAAGTGTTAACTTGAATCATAACTCTAAAATATTCTGCTAGGAAGCAGAATTTAATTTCAGACTGCATAAACTTGTGCAATTAGAGTTAATCTAAAACTATTACTAGTAAAAATATATGAAAATAATGCATTATTGTATTTTTAACATAACTTTAATAAAATAAAGGGGGAAGTACTTCAAGCCAGCAAATGCTTTGATTCTGTTCCATGACAAAACACTGTATGCTAAATCCTGTATTACTGGAAAAATTAAAAATTCATTCTCAGAACTTAAGCAAGGGGAAGACAACCTGTTTGCTTTCCAATTACTTTATTTCAACCTCATCAAACTTTTCCAACATGATCAATGGCAAAAAGACTGTGAGTTCGAGTTCAAGTCATCTCACACCTTAGATTATTTTAACTCATCAAATTCTTCCAGCATGATCTATGACAAAATACTGTATGAGTTGAAGTTCAAGTCTCCACAGACTTTAAGGTTATTTTAATCCATAAACCACCTTTCACACTAAACCGTAACGACTAGATCCACACAATATACTAAACCAAATCGTATTAAGCTTTAATATGTATAAATCACGCCAATATCGATTCGGTTCCTATGACTAACGGATGGTTATGGAAATCCAAGGCACACACCTCCAGGTAAGGGAAACCAAATCTCACAAAAAGCACAACCACTTCCTTCTTTCCCGTTTACGCAAACATGCTACGCAATGAAACTCCAAGTTCTCCTTCAAGGCATCTTCGCCGTTCGCCTCAAGAGTGTCGGCAAGGCTTCCCGACGGCGCCCATAACGAGGCCCCAGAGACCCTCCAAGCGCCCGCCTCCCTTTCATTTTTCTTTTTGTCCCCTCCCCGTTTTTCTGAGCTTCCGTTCCTCGCCAAAGGAGGAAGCCGGGGCCCAGTTCACCACCGCCGGCTCATAAGAACGGGACCCGAGCCAGGTTCCTACCCTTCCTTCCCGCCTCCGGGGAGTTCAGAGGGAAGGGCTCGCGTCCCGTCCGGACGGCGAGCTCTGTGCCGCGAAGGGCGCGGTCCTGATCGGTGGGAGCCTTCAACTTCAGAGCAGAAGGCGTGGACAAAGGAGCCCAGTTTTTGCCAATCCGGAAGGCCGCACAGCTCCTTAGTCTCCCCCTCCCCTCTTAACGTAACTGGCCTTTCTCCTTCTCGCCTAACTCTCGTTTATAGGCCGACTAGGGCGCAGCCTTCCCGGCTCCCCCTTCCTTTGTCGGGAACCTGCCCTTCAAAACCCACGAAGAAACCTTGTGGGCGCGCGCCAACTTCGGCCCCACCGCCTTGCTGCCCTTTCCGCGCCGTTCTCTCTCTCTCTCTCTCGCACACACACACACACACACACACACACACACAGGGGGAGGGGGCAGCTGAAGGACGAGGTACTCACCGGCGGCCGGGCGGGCAACGGTAATAAATCTGGAGATCGTTAAGCGCAGAAGAGGCACCTCCTGCTCTGTTTCCCGGCGCTGCTTCGCGAAGACTGAAATGAGCCAGGCGGAGGAGGCTGCGGGTGCTCATGCGCCACTCGCAGGGCCCTCGTGACGTCTGACGAAGCCGCGTAGGGGAGAATTTGGAAGGAGTCGGGTGGCTTGAGTGGTTCGGCGTTGTTTGTTTTGAGAAGTTGAGCAGTGAAGGAGTTCCCCTCTTCCCTCCGGAGTTCCTCAGCCAGCGACGGACTGATACTCTGAAGAAGTAGAGGCCGAACTTTACACTTATATGTGATCTGTTCTCTACCCTGGAAAGAAAAAAATCAGAATCATCTAGAATCGGAATTTGGCGATTCAGATCTTTCTTCCGACATCTCATTGAAACAACCGAGGGAAATCTGAAAAAAATCATCTTTGGGACAACCATGACCTCGATGACTATCTACAGACTTTTAGCTATACAATTTGGTATGAACACCCTTTGAAGGATGCGGGAGTAGGAATGGATTTCCAGAAGAAGGAAAATTGCCAGGAAACAGGAACACTACTTAGGTGACCCTAAGGACACAGATAAACCCCCAAGTGTTCTGCAAGGAATATAAATCCATCCATTCCCCACTATTCTGTCAGAGCTGAAGAAGCTTCTTGGATGAGAAGCGAAANTTTTCTAACTGCCCACCAGTTCCACAGTAATGGTGATTTATAAAGTAGGGAAGTAACTTTACTTTATAAAATTTATAAAGCAGAGTTACAGCAAACCCCTACTGCCCACCATGAAAGCTGGAACGCCCACTAGTGGGCGGTAGGGACTGGTTGACTACCACTGGGTTAAAGTCTGGGTCTTTTCTGTTCTCCTCCTTTCTGAATGACAAGAAAGCACCTGCCAATTTCAGAACTACAGCTGATCCATGGAGTGGATGACATGGCCAATAAAGTAAGAGATCCTCTCCCACTTTATCTACTCCCAGTCCTAACTACAGATAGCTCCTCCCATACTCACATCCCTGGTTGCCAATCTGGACATGCTTGTTTTGACTGCCAGGTCTCTAACATAAGTTTGCTCTGGCTGTTCATCAGTTATTAACTGGAAGTGCAGGGGATTGCCAATATAGTAGCATCCAGCTACAGTACCTTATGCTCTTTCTTCCAGGAAGAGAAAATGGCAGTAGAGGAGAGTGTCTGTATCAGCCACAAGAAACCAAGTGTTGCTGGGCTGACCTAGTACAAAAGGGCATCCTTTAAATGCTGCCATGAATAACTGCTAGCTTATGGGGAAACTATTTTAAAACAGAAACAATTAAGTTAAACAACTTAAGCCTGTCTCAGTCATGATCTGGATGTGAGATGAAAATAACATTATAGCAGACATGTTCATGACATACCTCATGTCCCATTCACGTGGGAACATATTACAAGAGTAGTAATAATCAGTTTGACTTAACATCTTGGACTCTCCTATATAAAGGTGAATAAATAGGGTTTTAGCTTTAGCAACAGCTATGTAGTACATATGTTTTGTTTCTACAGGGAGGCCATTCTAGATAATTAGTGCTCTAGCCATTTTTTCAGGCAGAAGTCTGAGTGGCTGCTTCTTTGAATTTATCCTCCTGAATGTGATACAAGATACATGAAACAAACTTGACCAAGAATCCAGATACACCATAGAAAAAACAACTTACAATAAACAAACTATTTGTTGCTGAAGCAGCTGCGCTGCAGGCCATCTGACTTCACCTTCAGTCTGCTCCAATGCATAAATATATGCATTATATGGAACAGTCAGTCCCCAACCCTATCAAATCCATGTGAAGCCCACCAAATCTTCTGAGGGGAAGGGTGACTGGTACCTAATTCAGAATTCCTATCCACGATTGGTTTCTCTATAACTTTCTATAACTCTACAATTCTCTATAACTCAACAATAATGCAAAACCAGTAGTGGTCCTAAACTCCATCCCAGCTGGCATACCTAGAGGAATGCCATGGCAGATGGTTAAAAATGCTTCTGAAAAGTACAAAACCTCAAGAGTTCTGTCTCCTTTCTAGATCTCAGGATGAGTCTCCTGTCAAGATGACCAAAAGATTGGAAGAGATACATGCATCCACATTAATTCTAAAAAAAAAAGCTTCAAAGGGGAAAAAGAAAAAAAATGTGTTCCAAATCCCACATTCATATAAAAATGAACACTAGATTTTCCTTCTGTGTACTGTATTTCTTAATTATTTACAGAATTGCATAGAAATTTATTGCTCCCTCTAGTGGAAATTCTGAATGCTTAGGTTTTTATAGTTTGATATTTTTTTAAATAATTTCACATGGTAAAATAGAAAATTTGGTAGGATAAATAAAAAGTTTGGGATATTATTTAACATTCTTTCCTTGATCCTTATTTAGGCACTGTATTTCAGTCTACATCAAACAATCCCATTCTAGGAATATATAATATATCTCTGAATCTTATTGTTTGGAAAGACAGGTATTAGGTATTAGTTAGAGAACATAATTTCCTTTTTATTCAGATAATTCATCTACAGCTCTTTCTTTCCCTTATAAAAGAGTTATTGAAGCTTAATGAACTTAGGCTGCAACTACTTTGTATAATAGGCCAATAGTATACAACAGATTTCTACCAACATTTATTTCCTTTGTGCTAGGACTGGGGATGAAATCTAGAAAGTGAAAACAAATTTCTTTTTGCAAGACATAGGAATGGAATTGGACAGGACTTCAGATTCACAGGCAAATAGATGTCTGAGAGCATGCAAGCATATGCCTGCAACTCCCTCAGCCAAATCCATCTTTTCCTGAGATCATGCTGCAATGGTAGAGAACAGCTGCATAATTCCATGGAAAGGTCCAGCTGCCTTAAGGAGCTGCAGGTGAATGGTTAGACAATGTCGCAAGTGTCCCTTTGCCTTCAAATCAAATCTAAAGTATGGCACAACTCTAGTAACAGGCAACAAAATTCACCTGTCATCGTGGGCAAAGATAGATTCCTTTCTTTTTTTTTCTTCTTAGATATATTAGACTACAACTTTCATAATTCTCAGCCCACACAGTAAGTTGTAATGTAACAGTTTGGAGGGCAACAGCTTAGAGAAGGCTGCCTAAGGCAAAAGTAGGTGGTGATATTCCAGATAACTCAGTGGGTATGTGGAGTTATTACATAAAGCCAAGACTTGAACTATAAACTGTATTTGTTACGTCTATTTGATAGATGAAAACACATCTGATAGACCTTTAAAATATCAGCTGTCAATTTCTTTGATTACTTTGAACCTTTCCTGATAAGTGATAATCAGCTCAAGGTCAAATCTAAGGTGTGCAATCCAATTTTTCACAAAGCTTTTGCTTCAGAGGCAAGCATAGAAATTTTGTACAGAAATAGTTAATTAATAGCTTGCACAGGTTATTTTAGTTCAGTGAAATAAATAGGTGAGCCTGCTGAATCTAAGAGGTGGACCTTCAAAATTGCCTGAACTAGTCTCAGACTAGTATCATTTTTGGAGTTTATTATAGTTATCTGACATGTTGGCTTTGCTTTTGACATGGGTAGCAATGATGATATTGTGTGGTAGTTTGTGGTATTTTCTGGGAGTAAGAAGAAGGTAAGGAAAATTACTTTCAAACATTCTTTCATGAACTGTGATTTTCCTCCCTTTTAATAATATTATAGATTTCTTTTTGAAAAAAAATGTGTTTAAGCTTTTATTAACTAATTGATACAATAATTGATTGTTCATGTGTATACGTATAGGAAAGCAGAGAAGGATTTTATAATATATTTGCAGCATAAATGTAGAAAATATGTATATGAAAGAAATAGAGATATGGGTAAATAGGCATTGTAATAATATATAAATAGATTATTCATATTTTATCATGAATCAGCATTTTATTCAAAGGGTTAGATAAACTTCCCCAAAGTAAACAAAGTATAAATGATATATTTAGCTTGGCACATAGATTTTATTGAATTTGATTTGCAATCGGTCTGAGGCATTCTAATTATTGGAGCTATATTAAGCTTCCAGACTGGATTCAAATCACTGAGTTCTCATCAATTCTCTACTACCTCCTCAGTAGATTTATCACTCAGGGGAGAGCAAAGTCTTCCTAGTAATGGTGAAAGTACCAAGTTATAAATAGTGTTTGCACAGCAGACATCAAGGCAAATTTGACCTTAATTTATGAGGGTTTGATCTCCCAGCTTGTGGGTTGGTTTCTGAACATTTCTTTACTGGGCTGGGTAACATCTTGAGCGGAGTTTAGGGGATCTCATCCTACACCTGAGGTACAGATATTTACCACTATTGCAAATATTAATTTATTTTGTAAATTTACACTCTATGTAAATATGAATATATATTCCTTTCTTTAGACGTCAAGGGGAGCCACCTTTGGAGAATGGAATGCTTCCATATCTTGGCTGTGCTTTACAGTTTGGGGCCAATCCTCTCAAATTCCTCAGGGAAAGACAAAAGAAGCATGGTCCTACTTTCACATGCCAATTGGCTGGAAAATATGTTCATTTCCTTACAGATCCTTTCTCCTATCATGCAGTGATGCAACAAGGAAGAAACTTGGACTGGAAAAAATTCCATTTTGCAACTTCAGCAAAGGTAGCATTTCAAAAGAATAACTATCGTAATAAAGTTCTTCTTCTGTTAAAGGTGGGCAAGGTGAAGGGCTCAGTTTAAAAACCATGCCACCAAATACTGATTTGTGTGGGGTTTGGGGTTGTTAGCACAATCTAAGGATGCTGTCCTGATATTCTCCAGATTCAAACTTTTAAGTTCAATGGGGTGAAACCAAATTTCACAATAAATATGCTTATTGCTTTGTCTTACTTAGAGTTCAGCCTCTACTTCATTTACAATCTAAAGGACTCTTTCTTAATGTATATCAAAATTGATTTTGATTAATCAATGCCAGCGTGCTTAAAAAGATGAATTACAGGAATACAGATGAATTTATTGTACAATTCCTATGCACTCATTGGGACTAACTTCCAATTATACCTAGAAATTTCACTTTAAATTATTTATTTTCAAAAGACATATAACAATAGCAGAGAAAGCAAGAATATAAATGTCGAATTCTAACTTAGTATCAGTTTAGTGATTGGTCTGACTGATTTAGAGTGTAATTTTGTGCTTCCTTTCCTGATAATATTTGCCCTCAGACCAGTATCAGCTTGATTTATATCTTTCAAATAAAGGCACCAGTTCAGTGTCAAATTTTATCTTCCCACCTCTGTAATTTAGACTACTGTTGAAAAATGCTCCATTTGTCAAAATACATACAATAACAACAAATTATTTGAAGTATAAATTTTCTGCCATAGAGACAATCATTATTATGTTTAATCTGGAAAATAGGTTTTAGATTGGTTTCAGATTTAATATTTTCTAATATTTTCTCATCCACCATATAAAGCCAATGATGGATGTAAATCCATTTCCTATTGTAGATGAATTTCTGGAGTTTAAATGGTTACTAAATGAGGATTCTAAATGGGCTGTACTCTATCACTCAGAATCTATTAGTAGGCTATATAAGTATACCTCATCCCTATGGTTTTCTTCCCCTTTTAAATTATAGAAAAAATAAAGTACTTTCAATTTCAGATGCCCATTATTATTTAGCTAGACCAGGACATACAACACTCTAAGTCGTGCCATTCAGTTCTTCCTTTAAGATGATTTGTGGTGGGTTAAATGCCATCAAAATAGGATGAGTAGAGGGATGGGACAAGAGATTAGATAACTAATTAGTGGCAATTAACATTCTCAATATTTGGTGGCAGGCCTTTGGACACGCAAGCATTGATCCAAGCGATGGATTCACTACTGAGAATATGCACCATACCATCATAAGAAAATTGCAGGGTAATGCCTTAACATTTCTCAGTGAAACTATGATGGAGAACCTGCATTATGTCATGGTGGAGTCAAGTGCAGAAAAAATGAATCTCAATGACTGGGTCACTGATAAGCTTTATGAATTCTGCTATCGTGTGATGTTTGAATCTGGGTTTTTAACACTTTTTGGTACAGAATTTAATACACATCATGAGAAGGTCCTTGCTTCTAGTCAACAAGCCCAGAGAGCACGTATCCTCAGTACCCTAGAGAACTTCAAGGAATTTGACCAAATCTTCCCAGCTCTTGTAGCTGGTCTTCCAATCCATCTATTTAAAAATGCCTACAGTGCACGAGAGAAGCTAGCTGAGGCTCTGCTCCATGAGAACCTTAAAAAAAGAGAAAACATTTCTGAACTCATTTCTCTCCGTATGTACTTGAATGATACATTGTCCACCTTTGATGATATGGATAAAGCAAAGACACATCTTGCAATCCTGTGGGCATCGCAAGCTAACACAATACCTGCTACATTTTGGAGTTCATTCTATCTTATTAGGTGAGTTCATACCAATAGTGGTCAACAAGAAAATTATTTCTATTTATTACGGTCAGTTTATTTACTAGTTGATTAAATGGTGATATGAGTAGTAATTGATATGCTGGATGAATATTTTTAAATACATTAATGATATTTGTTAAACATTTTATTCTGCCTGTCTGATTTCAGACACATGATTTATTAGAGCTCTATAGAAAAGGAGTGGCAGAGTCAGAAGACAAATAAAAAAAGGGATCAGCTGAGAATATGGATGTCAAACTCACAGCATCACGTTGCAATCACATGACATTTTACATTTTTTCCCTTCATGGAGCTGGGTTGGGCATGGCCTGCATATGACACATCCGACTCACAGGCCTCCAATTTGACACCCCTGGACTAGAATCATTACTTAGCCACAGAGAAAATCCACAATCCCCTCCACATCTTGATTGCCATTGACCCATTAACTTGACTATAAGTTGAGCATATTTCTGTACATAGGCTTTTAGCAATAAATCAGTTAAATTGGACCTTCACATGTGGACCTGATCTTTTGCACCTGACACCATAACCATGATAGACATGGTTTGTTAAGAAATGAGCAATGCATATGCCCTCAAAACTGGGAAGAATTGAATAACCAGTTCTTTTGCAATTGTACTGCAGGTTATTACTTTGCAAAACACTATTTATATCTTCCATTTTTGTTACAAAGCTTAGGACAGACAGACTGTAAGAAACCAATATTACCTAATGACTTCAAATCAGAACACTCATAAAGCTTATGCTGGACAGAAGTTCAGGATTTGTTCAGGATAATCTGCATTTACCAATTCCATGATGGCCAGGAATCTTTCAGATAACATCTCTGAAGATAAGGAGTCTCATGAAATATTACAAAAGAAAGAGCATTAAAACAAACTCTTTAAAAAGCCATTTATATTTGCTTAAAGTTAGATTGTGTAAGTACCCTGTAACAAATGCTTGCAGCATCCTAATATTTGGCAATAACATTTAAGAGCACTGGTGAGGTAATTCTGATGATACATGTCCCATATTGATTCATTTACCATTAATCTGAGAGAAAATGAATCTCTTACATCTTGGAAAACTGAACTGAATCCTAATAAACATGATTGAATTATTTAATATGCCTTAAGGGTTGTAAAAAAGGCTGAAGTCAATAGCATACAATAATTGTGTGACTTGTTTAAGCATAATTGCTTCAGAAATATAAATTTAGTTCTGTTAAAGTTGCAACATGCCAATTTCCAGGTTCTGATGCTTGAGTCTCCAGTACGTAGGATGAAATAACTTCTCAATTGTCTCTTTTTGGAGTATATGAAATTAAAACAAACTTTCAGAATACATTTTGATAGTGGGATCCCTAGAGAGGATATAGACAGAACATTTCCATAAGCAAACTGAGCCATGCAATCACATTTTCATAGCTGAGTCAAGATAGAAATGCTGCAATGTCCATGCTTCCTGTTTTGGTTTTTTAAAGATATGATTATCATGGCAAGGCCTGCCTGAAACTCATCACAACCTGGAGCTGTTTCTGAGGATAGTGCACAATGACTGTAATAACTCATTTTTATTAATGTTCATTGTATGACTTAGATTAATGTCAGCAAGATGGTCAACACAGATGATTAATAATAAATATTTATATTGTGATTTCACCATGTCTTTCTCTTTCAGGAATCCCAGTGCAATGAAAGCAGCTACAAAAGAGGCTGAAAGAGTGCTAAAAGATGCTGGTGAAAAGATCTGTTCAAGCAGGAAGCCCATTTGGTTGAATCAAAAACAACTAGATGACATGCCTATATTAGGTACGCTTGGTTAACTTTTGCTGAAAAATATGAATTGAACTCCCATCTGTTAGAATTTAGAAACCATTAATCATCAGAACAAATCAGCTGGATAATAGTCTTAGTCCTGCTCTAATGATGAAATATAGTATGCTTGGCTGGAACAACAGTTCATGCATTGGTTTTGGCTTTTTATTTTTACTGGATCAGATTACTTTTGACTTCACTATTGGTACAGTAACACAGTTGTTTATCTTCCATTTAGATGAAAGTTCATTTCTACTCTTTTTACACAGATAGCATTATAAAAGAAGCACTAAGACTCTCCAGTGCATCCATGACAGTCCGAGTTGCAAAGAAAGATTTCATTTTGCAATTGGGCAGCGATTCCTACAATATCCGCAAAGACGACATCATAGCTGTTTATCCCCAGCTGTTGCATCTTGATCCCGAAATTTATCCTGATCCACTGGTGAGTTTTCCAACAAAAAAGTTTGCCTGACTATGAATAGGAAGAAATTATTCTGTATTATAAAACAATTTGGATTTTGCTAAGTGAATTCTCCCACAGATAAAAACTTAATACCCTAGGCAGAATAATATCAGTATTTGTTCAGACTTCACCTTTGTCTCACTATTACCAATAATTAGGTGGATTAATACTTTTCATTCATAATGATATAATTAATCAGTTTAAAAATCATTTCAATAATTATTTCAGTTTTAGTTTCCAAAGACATTATGTTTTACCGATGTTGATAAATTACTGGGAAAGTAATGGATTGAGGTTATTAAGTAAACCATGATCATTGGTAGAAATAAGTAATATACAACACACTACTTGGGATATAGCAAGAAAGTAGTCATAAATATTAGAATTAGATGCCAAATAATCTCTGTTGATAATTTTTATAAAGTCTGCAATACAAAGATAAATACAAATGAAGAAAAATATAAACAGTAAAGAGTAAAGTGCAAAGAAGAAAGAAAAATATCTGCATATATTCTTTCACACCACTTTAAGTATGTCACAGGATAAAAATGTAATAAATAAACAATAGATAGATTGAAAGAAAGTGATTGTTGCTTTTGAATCCATACTCATTAATGATGAAGAGGAAAAACCTTACTCCCTAAAGAATTTCCGAAATAAGTAGAGAGCAGAGAAAAAATATCTATGGACAGTGATAACATTAGAAGTGACAAACTAAATGCAAAAGATCAAGGTTATAGCTACTCATTGGGTAAAAAATAAAATAGGGCTTATTGCTTATTTTGTCATACAAAATTTTTCCCATTCAAACTGCTGTTTTAATTTGATCTGAAATGTTTACATTTTATCCAATGTTTTAAGTGAATGTTGTTTATTATTCTGAAATATATCATCATATTTCATTTATCTGGCTAGTAACATATTCAGCAATTGGTTTCCAAATCATCAGGAAAAAGAATATCATTTGCAACTCTTAAATTATCTTAAGGTTTCTATAGAAATTGTTGAGTTAACAAATACACTGATTTGAATTTTGTTACAGACATTCAAATTTGATCGTTATCTTGGAGAAAATGGAGAAGAAAAAACTTTCTATCGTAATGGTTGCAAACTAAAATATTATTATATGCCATTTGGAACGGGATTGGCAAAATGCCCTGGAAGATGGTTTGCTATTAATGAAATCAAACAATTTCTGACTTTCTTGCTTTTCTATTTTGAAGTGGAACTAATTGACAAGAATGTAAAATGCCCTTCTTTGGATCAATCGCGAGCTGGACTTGGTGTTTTGCAGCCTTCAAATGATATAGAGTTCAAGTACAGATTAAAACTTCCATGAACATAAAGAGAACTATTATATCTTAGCATCAGTCCTCCAAAGAGGTAGAAATATCCATCAAGTAAGGGTATTTCAATATACTAGAAAAAAATGAGACAGTTTGGAGAAACTGCTATCATTGTTTTATATGGTTGTACAGGAAATATTTCCCAATGTAAATCAGATTTCTGGACTGATGCTTGTGAGCGCTAGAGCTACTTCAGTCCACTAAAAGTGCTTGTATTGGTTTTGAGACCAGATCAGAGTAAAGGGAAAAGATGAAAGAATGGTTGACCGTTCGTAACCCCAAAGCCTTCCAGATTGAAGTTAGAGACAAGATTTCTTCACCACATTTTGAAAAGCAGTGGAACAATCTTGCACCATGCTGCCTTTTACGTAAATAAAACTTGCAAACATAAGGTCACGGTTAGACTTTAGAACACTGATAAAATGTGTACAAAACTCATCCTAATACTAGAAGAGTATTTCATACTTTTGGCCCAGCTTTCCTTATGGCTTTTTGTAGATCTATAACATCATTCTAGCTGAAGGTATGGGTATTGTGGGTTTTTGTTTGTTTGTGTATAATTACTGAGTATAGATTTTATTTTCTTCAATAAAATATTGTATTCATCCTGGAAAGCTTTAAGAGTGATTTCTTATTCTTTGGCTTAGACAATTTCCAATGGTAATGACATCCTCTATTACAGAACCAACCAATATGTAACATCTAAAAAGATATTCAGAGAAAAATGTCAGGGGAAAAATAAGAATTCTGGGTCATGAGCAAATAGAAAGTCACTGTCAGTTTACTTACTGATAGACCAAAGTAACCTCACACTATTTTATTCTTTCTCTGGCACAGTCAACAATACTACACAAGCTTCTTAATACATCAAACGGAATACAAGGCGTGCTGCTATTTATTTAACCTGTAATAACCTTCAAAACAAGCAGGCAAAGACTTTTTAACATGAGTGAAGTATGAAAAAAAATAGTCAATAAGGATTCAGGCCCGCAAATGGATTCATATCACTTTTTTTTTTTAAAAAAAAATAGTACAGTACATAGATGTTCCCAAGTTGCCCTAGCCAACCTCCTTTTCTTAGTCTAACAACTGTTAAAATCAATGCAAGGAGAAATCCCATCCACATGTGTCGCCTATCTCAGAATCAGGGTGAGCGAACGTACTTTTGAAAATAGTGTCTACCTTCAATTAAGATTGCTCCAAGTGTTTGCTATAAGCAAATGCACAGAAGTTAGACAAAGAATTTTTAACATGGAACAGGATAAGTGGAAAAAATAGAAGTGTACAGGTAGTCCTTGACTTACGATCACAATTGAGCCCAAAATGTATGTTGTTAACTGATACATTTAAGTGAGTTTTGCCCCATTTTATGACTTTTGTTGCCACAGTTGTTAAGTGACTCACTGCCGTCAATAAGTTAGCAAACCTGTTGTTAATTGAATTTGACTAACCATTGACTTTGCTTATCAGAAGGTTGCAAAAAGTGATCACATGACCTTGGGACCCAGCAACGATCATAAATATGAACCAGTTGCCAAGCATTTGAATTTTGATCACATGATTATGGGATGCCGCAAAGGTTGTAACTGTGAAAAGCTGTCATAAGTCACATTTTTCAGTGCGGTTGTAACTTTGAATGGTCATTAAATGAATTATTGTAAGCAGTGGTTCTAATTTTTTCCTACCAGTTCACTTGTGCATGTGTGCTCGCTCGTGCATGTGTGCTCGCTTGTGCATGCATGGTCGCTTGTGCATGCGCGCTTGCTCGTGCATGTGCGCTAGCTTGTGCATGCGTGCTTGCTAGTGCATGCAGGCTTGCTCATGCATGCAGGCTTGCTCGTGCATGCACGCTTGCTTGTGCATGCGCAGAAGCATCCGTGAGTGTAGGCCGAGCCTCCCACTGCTGTTATTACCAGTTCTCCTGATCTGGGCCAAACCAGCAGCAACCCACCTCTGATTGTAAATCGAGGACTACCTGTTTAAAGTTATGCATGGCACAGATAAAGTAGCTAGGGAATTCTTTTTTTCCTGCTCTCAACATACTAGGATCTGAGGCCATCCTATAAATTAAAATGGAAGGATTTAAAAGAAAATATAGCTGAGTAGAAGTTATGCTATCACCACGGCATATGTCATAGAGTAGTGGGATTCACTTACCTTCCCCACCAGTTTGCAAATGAGAGCATGAGCGCATGCTCACTTCGCTCACATGCACCACTTTCTGATCATGCGCACCACCTTCTGCGCATGTGCAGAAGGTAGCACATTACATCGGCGTGGGTGGGCGGGCAGAGCGTCCCGCAGCAGCCACTACCTGCTCACCTGAACTAGAGAGAACTGGCTGAAAAGCACTTCTGGTTGGAGACCACTGATCTAGATGACATCATACTTTCTAACGTACAGTACATTTGATTTATCTTATTCATAATTATAATTCAGCTTCCCTTCAATGCATAATTGCACAAGATTGTCTTCATTCAGATCTAAAACACTGTTTCTATTTTTCCTAATTGAACAAATATTTTTTCTTCCAATTATTTTATTCATGCTCTTTGCCATATATTACTCCTAATTTCCAAGTCATAATCTTCTTTATGCGATGCTCATGGATACTGAGTTCTGCCACCCATCACAGTTTTGATTAACTGGTGTTTTTAGAATCATAGAGAAAGTTGATTACAGCCCCAGTCTTACCTATGCCACATGCAGCAATTCCCTGCTAAGTATAAGAAAGGTAGTTTCAAATTTGGGCACATTTTGATCAGTATGCCTTATGCCCAACAAAAGCCAAACTATTCTAGATAAACTCAGTTTTCTAATCTAGTGATTATGTTGCAAGTCAACATCCTGTTGCTCATATCTCACTAAGTAAGATATGCATCCAGAATACTGACTCACTTATGAATTTAAATTATTATGTGGTATATTATATATCATATAGAATGCAACTTAAGAATATAAAGGGTTTTTTTTATCTCTGTCTTTAATACCGTACATTTATAGGGGGACAATAGGAAAGCAAGGCTCAATTTATGCTAGGCTTACAGACTTTCTGAATATCTCCAGCCAGTCAGAGTCACCTTATAGGGGACATTGGCAGCAAAACAATTTAATAAATAAAATAAATACTACTTTCCCTAATCTGATTTCTTACATATTTTGGAAAGTGTCTGTTTTGGGATATGTTAGATATGCTACATAGTTTTGGGATATGTTAAATATGCTATATATAGTATAGTTATGTATACTACTTTGTATAGATAACTATACAAATTGTTAACTGAATGGCAGATTAAAATATGTTTCTGTTACGTTATGCTAATATTTATAGCATTATAATTTTATTTCTAAATTTATACTGTATTTTTAAATATAAAGGCAACTATAATAATTCAAAACAGATAGCAGTGTTTTTCACACAAATCTACCGTCATTCAAATCATCAGATTACTTGAAATAGTTCTTTACCCAACACAATCTATATTCACACCCCATGGACGTCAGCACTTCAGCACAAAATAGGATTCTTATTATCCCTGTAGAAAACCTGGAACAACCCATTGGCAGCTTACTCTATAGAACTATAACCAATTTATCTGTACCTAAAATAAACATTTCTTGGAAACGACTGCTAGAAAACATTTAAGAGATTTGGAAATTCATGGTCAAAATAAAAACAACTTTTTTCCCCTCAGAAAAAACTGCAAGCAGTAGATTAGTGTTGATATCAGTATAATGCTTAATTAGCATTGAAACTATTACATCAGAGATTTAATTGCAAATGTGTTCGATCTCACTCTGCAAACAGATTTTTGTTCAACGAAATTAAAGAAGAGGTTGCATAATGGATGTGTTTATACCCCATTGACATAACATCCTTTTTATATAGTTTCCAACACTCTAGACAAATAAATACAATCTCCTTCAATATTATTTATTTGCTCAGCAATTCTCTATATACAGTCCTCTAAATCATTGTTATAACATTGATACGAAATATATAATTGAATTTTGTTCAAACAAAATTAATAAATCTAAGCAGAGAGATTATCTCTCATGAACTGAGTATAAAACTGCATTTGAAGAACTAATATATTTGTCAGATATCCTAAATTGAATGGTATTTTATTATCATGATTGTAACTAATAAAAGGGAATAGAAAAAAAAAGAATGAGAAAAAGTGAAAGGGAAAATGTTATATCAATGCATTTGCAGAATTAAAAAGTATATCAATTATAAGATACATAGTAATTATGTATCTTATTAGGATTAACAATATACAAATATATTCTTATATAGGGGGTCTTATGTAGCTAAAATAGCACTGCCAAGCACATATATCAGCAATCTTGGTGAAGTCCTGAGAGTTACAGAAGCAAACATAGCTCCTTAAAACAGCCCTAATGGCTAAGTGAGCATAAAGACATGCCCAATTCACTTGCATGAGTTCCCTAAGAATCTTATAGATTTTCAAAATCACACAGGCTATTTTGCAGGGAAAAGGGCAGTGTTGTAAGGCGCAAAGAGATGTGTAAACTGAAATTAGAAGGAATAAGGCAGGGGTTGGTTCCAGCAGAGACTACTGCCGGATGGCTCAGGTACACGCCGTGCGTGCGTGCTTGATGCGTGCTGCGTGCGCAATTGCAATACAATTAAAATTGCTCTGTGCATGCGCAGAAGCAAAAAACAATATAGCGGTGCCTATGACACTGCATAGAGAACCGGTTGGCATTGCAGGCCTGGGTCGCTGCCAGTTCCAGCGACGCAGGCCGCCAAGCTACTACTGGTTCGGCCGAACTGGTCCGAACCGGTAGGAACCCACCACTGGAGTAAGGGAACAAATAGGGAATGCTTAAGAAGATGCAACTCAGAGCAGGAGATAGATAAGATATAAGAGGAATACCTGCAATAGTCATTTAAAAGCTGCATAAAAATGTGTGCACTGCAGAAAGAACAAAAGCTTATATTAGAAAGAGTTTCATGGAAACAGTTGTGCATTAAGAAATGTTGTTTACAAACAAACATGTGAAAGGGAAGAGGTAATAATTTCAGTTTTTCCAGGATGAATTCTATGCTTTTGAATAAAAAAATACAAATATTCACAAAAACATTGATACGTTCTATTTTGTGTGAGATCTTAGGCTTCACTTAGCTTTACATCCACAATTGTTTTCTTGAGCCAATTTTATCAACAGCATTTTTGTCCAATAGTATATGTAAACAGGGTTACTTCTGACATAAATATTTCAACAGTCTATTTAAAAGAAATCAATACCATCTCTTCCCACAATACTCTTTCTTATAGATGATTTAACTCACTAATGTCCTGATGGAAACTTGTCCTTTTTATTTAACTA